TCAGCCTTCCTGCTCCTATGATGCTGCTTGGCCTGCTGTGTTCATCCAGCTCCACACCTTGTTATCTCAGATCTTCCAGCATCTGTAGTTCCTACTATCTCTGGATAAATGTAAGGTTTGGGAGCACAAACGGGAAGGTGGATTATTATATTAATGGATATAAATTGTGAGCGGGGAATATGTAACGAGACCTAATAGGCCTCATGCACCAGTCACTGAAGATAAACGTCCAGTATAGCAGGCGGGCAAGTATGAGGAGAGGTTGAATTGGTTAGGATTGTATTCATTGGAGTTCGGAAGAATGAGGGGGATCTTATAGAAAACAATAAAATTCCAGCAGGATTAGACATTGTATTTGCAGGAAGTATGCTCCCAATGACGGGGGAGTCCAGAACCACAGGTCATGGTGTAAGAATATGGGGTAAACCATTTAGGACTGATAGAAATCTCTTCACTCAGAGTGGTTAGCCAATGGAATTCACTACCACAGAAAGCAGTTGAGACCAAAACATTGTATGATCTCAAAAGGAATAGGATAATGCACTTAGGGCTGAAGGGATCAAAGGATTATTGGCAGGGGAGGGAGGTGGAATGGGAATAGGCTTTTGAGTTGGATGGAGAGCCATGAAAATATTGAATGGTGGAGCAGACTTGAAGGTCCAAACAGCCTACTGATCCTTTTTTCTTAATTTCTCTTTTTAAATGCATTTTGATTGTGATATTAGGATTTGAAAATGAGCGTTTTACTATTTGTCCAGTTTATTTTGCTGTTTATTTTCAACAGTACAGAAGTAAACTCTTAATTTGCAGTTACAAAAATATCTTGCAGGTTTTGAATTATCCGAACTGCTACATTTTTTACAGTTCAGTAAATTGAACTGGATCATTTTTATGTTGGTTTTCACCTGTATATCTTCTCGTTTATTGAAGATTTAGTAACTAGTTTACTTTACTCTTGCATGTAGCCCACTGGAAAACATCGTGGTTGGTTTATAGACCCACTTGGAGGTAACCCTTGGTGGACACTGCTTGCTGCTTTTGTACCAGCGCTGTTATGCACTATCCTTATTTTCATGGATCAACAGATCACTGCAGTTATTATTAATAGAAAAGAGCACAAGTTGAAGGTATTTAAATGTTAGCAATCGTTAACAAATTTTTATAATCTTTATTTTCTCGAAGACATTGATGGGAGGTAGCTCTCCCTCACCATTACTTCTCTAAATAACATGAGAGAATTTGTTTGTTTATAGCTGATTTTTTTTTTTCTAATCTACCACTATAAGTTCTATTGAATGATTAACATTGAGGTATAAATTATGGACTTTCATTTGCATGTGGTCTTGCCTCGTGTGGTGGTAGCTCTTGTCGTATTGAGAGTTATAGACACCATTGCAGTATTATCTCTTTGGGAAGAAAAGTTGGAGTTACTTCCATTGGATGACTTTCTTTAAAATAAAAATCACTCCTGTAATTAAGAAACAAACATTAAATATCAACTGGTCATTTCAGGGTGTTTCATATTTTTGATAATATCCATTGTTCTCATCTGTCCCTTTACAAACTTTGAAGCACTTTTACTTTTATTTTGGCCTAATGTATATACAGTTGACATCTTGACATTCTGTTGCTTTACAGAAAGGTTGTGGTTATCACCTTGATTTGTTGATGGTATCTATTATGCTGGGAGTATGCTCGATTATGGGTCTTCCCTGGTTTGTGGCTGCCACCGTTCTCTCCATCAGTCATGTCAATAGCCTAAAAGTGGAATCAGAATGCTCAGCACCAGGTGAACAGCCCAAATTCCTTGGCATTCGAGAACAGAGAGTTACCGGCTTACTGATATTCATCCTGATGGGATTGTCTGTTTTTATGACTTCAGTTCTGAAGGTAAGATTGAGGCACTGCATGGTTGTTGGTATCAGGCAGTTTTTTTCTTTTAATTGCTATAATGAGCTAACTTTGCAAGGGTTCTGGTTTAAAAGAAAAAGTTCATTTTCAATGAGTGGAAGAATTTGAAATTCTGTCAGCTTATTCGAGAGGAAGTTATTTCTGGATTATTAGATAACTTTTAAATAAACAACTATGCACTAATCCAAAATTTTATATGATGTATGTGGTCCATTCATTGCCCAGTGGAAGGTCTTAGTATTTGCAAAATACGTAATCTGGCCTATGAAATCAGTTAATAACTAATTGTTCTTATTTGAAGTTTATCCCAATGCCAGTGCTTTACGGAGTCTTCCTGTACATGGGTGTTTCATCTTTGAAAGGCATTCAGGTATTTGTAACCATACATCACATGGTTCCAATAATCTTCCAAATTTATTACTACTAGGAAAATTATCCCTTTATTAACAGCTAACCAATTTTTTTCACCAGTTTTTTGATCGTATAAAGCTGTTTGGGATGCCTGCAAAACACCAGCCTGACTTAATCTACTTGCGTTATGTTCCACTGTGGAAAGTTCATATCTTCACGGTTATTCAACTTAGCTGTCTTGTTATTCTTTGGGTCATCAAAACCACGGCTGCTGCAGTTGTCTTTCCCATGATGGTAAGATTATTGGCCATTTCCATTGTTATTTTGACAAAACTGTTAAATTTAATTTTGTAGGTGAGTTTTAAATTATTTAAAGTTGCTCAATTAAGGTTAACTGGTAGAGCTCTACAGGCAGTGTTTGAGTGACTTTGGAATGAAATGTTGATTCATTACATCAAATGCAGAAGCCTGTGATGTGGAAAAGTAAGGTGAAGGTAAAGTTGCCACAGTTCTAGAGGATGATAGGGCTGCTCTCTCATTAGAGAGAGACGACTGGTGGTAGTTTAACCTGAGAGTCACCGTGTCTTAGGCAAGGAATGAGGTTGACAAGGTAGAGCCTTCATAGTAACCTCAGCTGGTACAGGAATTGAACTTGTACTATTGGCATCCCTCTGCATTGCAAACTAGATGTCCAGCTAACTGACAATACGGTCATGTTGTCAGCCTTTCACCTAATCTGAATGAATCAATAATTTGACATTGAGAGTTTAATGATGAGAGTCAATAATGGCGCCCACTTTTGTAAAGTAATAGTGATTGTGAATATTCATCCTTGGCTAATAATAACTCTGTTATATTCAAATCAATGGATAGAGAATACACCATTGAGCTGCTTGAGCTCTTTAAGCTTTTCAACGAGATCATGTTCAGTTCCATTTATTCACCTTTGAAAAGAAACCGTAACTTATTTTTGATAGGCAAACTCTTGTCCTTAAAATTTCAATTTGCACACCAATCATACACTTTTTTAAGTGTGAAGAAATGGCATTCAAGATTTTCACTGCAGAGGGTAAAACTGCTTCCTGATTTCACTCATAAATGGTCTAATCCTAATTTTAAGATTAAGCTACCTTGTTCTAGGTTTTTTCTATCAGAATAAACAGTTTCTGTGTGTCTAACTTCTCAAATCTTCTGTTTTTCCTTTTTCAAACCTGGCTGATTTTCAATGTTCATTTTTAATCTTTTTTATCTCTATCAACTCCTTTTCTGAGGCCAATATGATGCACTGCCTTAACCTGTTCACAGTACCCGAGCTGGGGTTTGACAGCTGAAACATTATTTCCTCACTTATATCCCAACGACCTTGAGCAACAGGCCAACATGTTTTTAGCCTTTCTGATTACTATTTGGACTTTATGATTTATGTTAATGGGTGCCTAAATCTCTTTAGTCCACTGCTCCACGTTTCTACATGATTAAGAAAATATTTCTCTCTCTCTTGAATCCAAAGATGGTGAACCAATAGTTCTACACATTAAATTCCATCTGCTCCTTTTATTATTCTATAACGAGGATCTAAGTAACATCACAGAAACAACTAAATCAGGAAATGGTAGGGAGTAGAGAACTCAAATACAGTCTGTCCACGTACTTTGGACAGATGGGAGCAGGAAGTTACAATGTAATCTGTCTCCTAATGTAATGTGATCTGCAAACTTGGATATACGATGCTCTGTTTCATGAAGGTCATTGATAAATATGATGGTTGAGGCCCAAATCCTACTGTATCTCCTAAGACACAGTGTCTTCAAATTGTGAACAATTTTGTCGTTATTTTGTGTGAAATATTATCAAATGATTTCTCAAGATTGATTAGTATAAACAACATCTCTAAACATAGACATTTTTGTTTCTTATCCTTGGAGATTTTCTTGACTTCTCCCCTCCCTTCCATGTCCTGATTTAGTTATTTCTGGGATGTGTTCTCCATGGTGAAAACTGATACTCAGTTCATCTGCTAACTCCTTATTTTCTCCAGACTGTCTCTATAGGAGCAATGCTCACTTTTTTTTCCTACAGATGTTTTACAAATAAACTCTTACTGTCTTTTTTTATTTCTAACTATCCTTTTCTCATACACCAATTCCCTCCCCTCCCCCCCCCTTTTATTAATGAGGAAGATGCAAGGAAGTTTCAGGGTGATCCTGAAGTTGTGTGGGTAAACACATTGGCAGCTGCAGCATAACATAGATAAATGTGAAGTTAGTGTGAAAAATTGAAAGGCAGAATTTTAGTTAAAAGGTGAGATATTGGGAAATTTGGATATACAAGGGGATATGGCTGTCTTTGTACATGTCAGTTAAACGAAACGAGCGGATGTGGCAAGCAATTAGAAAGGCAAATGGTATGTTGGCCTTTATTGCCAGAGGATTTGAGTTCAGAAGTAATGATGTCTTGTATGGCACCTTGATGGAACTGCACCTGGAGTATTGTGTTCAGTTTTGACCTCCCAACTTAGCGGGTATACTTGCCATAGACTGAGTGCAGTGAAGGCTCACTAGGCTGATACTGGGATTAGTAGGGCTATCCTATGGAGAGATTGGTTTGTTGGGACTATATTCACTAGAGTTCAGAAGGATGAGAGGGGATCTGAAAGAATTTTATAAATTTCAAATGGCTGGACAGACCTAGAAACAGGGAGGATGTTTGCCTTGGTTGGCATGCCTAAAACCAGGGCGCTCAGTATCGGGACGTGGTATAGGCCATCTAAGACTTTGACGTGGAGACATTTCTTCACTGAGGATGGTCAGCCTGTGGAACTTGGTACCACAGAAGGCTGTGGAGACTAGGTCACTATATTCAAGAAAGAGATTGATATATGCTTAGATATTAAAGGCATCCAGGAGTATGGATACTAAACGGGAATATGGTATTAAGAAAGAGGTTCAGCCAAGTTCATATTAAGTGGCAGAGCAGGCTATGTTTTGTAATCATTTAGTCATTCTTTGCTTTTTTTTTTCATGTTCTACCCAAAGTCCTGACCTGCTTCCATCCTTGTGCAATTATGTTTTTCCTATTAATTCTGATATTGTCCTTAATTTCTTCAAAACCATGGATGATGGGTCCTCCCTTGGAACTTTTTTTTCCTTATTGGCATGTAACTCATCTGTCTGTTCTGAAATATCCCCTTAATATATGCCACTGCATCTCTTGACTTATCTCTAAACCCAGGTTGCCTAAGTCTGCTTTCATGTTGTAATGATTGCCCTCATTTAAGTTTACAATACAAATCTTCTCTCCCTCAAAGTAAACATTAAAATTCAATCATATTATGATGGCCACTGGCAAGGGGCATCTTCATTTGAGATCATTAATTAATCCTATCACATTACACAATTTTCCAAAGGCATTTGATAAGATGCTGCAGAAAAGGTTAGTTGGCACAGGTACTTGGAGTTGTGGTAGCGTACTAGCATGGATAGAGGATTGTTTAATGGAAAGGAAATGGAGCTAGCATAAGTGGGGCATTTTCAAGTTGACAGGCAATTGAGTCCCATAATGGGTTCTTGCTGGTTCCTCAACTTTTTGCCATTCGTATGAATGATTTGAATGAAGGGACCGAGGAACTTGCTAAATTTGCTGACAACACAAAAATGGATAGGAAAGTAAGTTATGAAGAAGTCATAAGGTGTGTACACAATGATAGGTTAAGTGCATGGCCAAAGATCTGGAAAATGCGAAGTTTCCCATTTTAGCTGGAAGAATATAAGGAAGCATACAGACTTGATGATGAGAAATTGCAGAGCTCTGAGATGGAGGGATCTTTGTGTGTGTGTGTGTGCGTGTCTGTGTGTGTTCACGTTCACGAATTGTGGAAGGTGAGTATGCAGGTAAAGCAAGTCAATAGGAGACTAATAGAATGTTTATAGCTTATTGTGAGGGGAATTGAATAAAAAAGTAGAGGGCTTATATTTTTGTTACACAAGTAATTGGTGGGATCACATCTGGAGTACTATGTACAGTATTGGTCTCGCTATTTAAGAAAAGATGGAAACATTTACTGGACTAATCCCTGGAATGCGCAGGTTATCTTTTGAGGAAAGGGTTGACAAGCTAAGCATGTACCCATTTGAGTTTAGAGGAGTAGAGTTAACTTGAATAAAACAAATGGGATGCTGAGGGGGTTTTAGAGTGGATATGGAATGGATGTTTCAAGAATCTCAAATTAGGGGTTACTATTGAAAAATAATGGATTGCCATTTAAGACAGAAATAACAATTGTTTTAGAGCAGGCCTGAGGAGCCAAATGGCCTATTCCTGCTCCTAATTCACATTTTTTTTTATGTATGTTAGAACTGTGTGGTGTGGATCATTGAGTCCCAGGGATTTGTCAAACTTTAGTTCCTCAAGTTTCTTCAGTACATTTTCTTCTATCAATATTAATTTCCTTGTGTTGTTTAAGCTCTTGGTATTGCCAGAATGAAGCCTGTGTCTTCTGTTTTAAAGATGGATGATATTTTTTTCTGCTATGTCATTCCCCATAAAAATTTCTCTTCTGAATGTTTCCTTAGAAACAAAGTTTACTGTGCCTTTTCACATGCATATAAAAACGCTGTCAGTTTTGAATATGTTTGACAAGTCTACTTTTGTATTCGACATTTTCCATTTTATCAACTTTGTGTATAAAATGCAAACGCTGTGCCTAAAACTGTTAAATTATGGCAAGAAATATCTTTTTAGAGTGGGTTTTACGAGGCAGTTTGCAAAGTGAGGTTGAGGTTGAGCTTAATGTTCTTCTGTAATTTATTTTCTGTATTATTGAGATGAATTTTTGGGCATAGTACGCGGAGAGGAGAAACCAAAAAAAGCTAAATGAAATTGAAATTTTAATTAAAATGTTACTTCAACTGAGAGAAGACTAAAGGAATATCAGACTACACCATTTCCAGAGTGAAACTGTCTATTTTCTAGCCATCTTTAGGGTATCTGTTTTAAAAAATGCACAGAATGGAAAAATAGCTCATGACGCCGAACTTTATAGGGATGACCCACCATTCAGAGGCCAGTGAATGTAACCTCCATTTTAGGTGAAGTAATAAAAAGTATTCTGAAAGATGGTGTACTAGGGCGAAGCTAATCAATATTTGGCAGATGATTCCAAAATTACAGGGCGAGGGAAACTGATTCAGCCAATAGGTACCAAGAAAACAATTATGAACCACAAAGGGTAGGGATAAATCAAACATGTGTATTGTTGACAGGTTCTTGCTCTGGTTTTTATTCGGAAACTTTTGGACTTCTGTTTTACGAAACGAGAACTCAGCTGGTTGGATGATTTAATGCCAGAGAGCAAGAAGAAGAAACTGGAAGATATGCAGAAAAAGAAGAAAGAAACGGAGGTAAATGAACGGACCTTCTGAGATCTAAACAGGCTTTTGATCAGTTTTGAGTGAACCCAATCCATAAACTAATTGTAGGTACAAAGTTTTGTTTTCTGCACTTTCTACCTGTTGCTACATTCCTTGCTGTTCCTGTCAAGGTGATCTCTCTTAACAACTACTTTATGTGGATGCCTTTCACTGTCAAGTTAAGGATTTTATGCAGAGGTTTTGAGCAATTTTGTAACTTTTGCCATCTAGTGTGCATAATTCAGTTTGAATTAGATTTTTGCATATCTGTTCAGATCCTTTGCATGCAATCTTTAATAATTGATCTCAACTCTTACTTATTCCTCTTTTGTGTTGGTCACCCAAGAACAGGATGCAATGCAGAGTTTAAAACCATGCTGTGAATGTTGTAGTAACTTCTGTGCCATTTTCACGTTGAAAGTCAAAGCTGCAATATCATACAGGAAATCAAAATGCCTCCAGTACGAAATGCCACAGTTTTATGCTATATGACGTAATTCACCATTTTGCAAATTTGATCATGCTGAACCATAAATGTCTGAAAACGATGAATCTGTTTTTAAGTAAGGAAGTACCCAGGGTTGCACAGCCACATTAATGTAATTACATAACCATGCTACCTTGCTTGTCCTATAGCCCTGTTGCTGTGAAACTTTTCCAATTATTGCACCTTTTCTGTGATAGTTTTGTTTTAATATACAAAAATGAACATGAGTTGTAGCATTTGAGAAAATATTTCCCTACATTTAAGTTGACTTCAGGTTTGATCAAATTAATTTAGCACAACCATGAACTGACATAACTTTTACACTTTACAAGTAGCTTTCCTGGTCCAGAATATAATTTACCTCTTAATTTGATACTGCTCTTTAACCACCGAAAATCCAATTAGGATATGAAGCAGGTGTAAACTATTAAAGTTATTCAAAAGAATGTACAGCTAACTGAAGTTTTAGACTTCATGTTAGTAAGTGGGTCCCATTTAAAATGTCTCAGCATTTGTAATGAAAGCAAAACTTTGGAATATGCCAGTGATTTTCTGGGGTTTTTTTGTTTACAACGGACCTTTGCAGTAACTAATCCAATTTCCTTTTTTTGTTGGTCACTGAAAAAAAAAGTCCACTGAGGAGGATAATGAAATAGCAATGCCTGTGTAAACATCAGGTTTGCTCTTGTACAGTTATTCCTGGAGTTTACAAATTAACATGCTCTTGCAAGCAAAGGCTAGACTAGCTCTTGTATTAATAAGGCATTAAACTGGTACAGCATCAGGTTCCTTATATAACCATGTACAATTTATTCTTGGATTTCTGCTTTTATTACTTTTCTGGTGTAAGGTTTCACATAACTACACCTTGACTCTCGCCAAAGTTTTAAACTACTTTAGTACTATACCATCTTTCAACTCCCCTCTGTCCTCCACAGATCTCCTTGATCCCTAGTCCTGGTAGCACAGAAACTAGTTGAATTCTGTTAATCATCTGATACACCATTTGTATTATACGTCTGCTTGCAATGGCAAAGTGGGTTTTATTATTAATTCCTAAAGACAAAATGCCAGTGGTGTTGAAGGTTATATTGAGGCTACCATTTTTTTCTTCTGGTAAGGTACATTTTTCATTCCTAGTCATATTTACCTTTTACCTTCACCTAAATTGAGGACCAAATTCACAAAATATTTTTGAAGTGAGATAACATGGTGTAGAGCTGGAT